CTCTCTCTCCCTCCCTCTCCCACCGGTACCCCCCGATAAGGCACTACCCGCCTATACTCCGGACCGATTTGCCGAACGACAGCGGCCCAATTTGGCTGGGGTCCAGAGCGGGCGCTGCCAGGGCTGGTCGGGCCTGGAGAGAGCCCGAGGGCTGTTTTGTCATCAGACTGGAAGGGGAGGGTGGATCGCCCCCCAAAAAACACAACCAATGGTCCGAATATAAACGGACACAGGAAGTATCGATGGCAAAAAGTCGAGCCGCTCATCATGCAAAACCTCCGTAATTCACGTGGACGGACGGTGATCGGGGTCCCAGCGGAGGACAGGGGCGAGTGCAGCGTTCGCTACCCGACGATGGCGTCGGAGGAACGCGAGGAATGCCTCCCGGCCGGCGCCTCGGGGCCCAAGGATGGGGAGGGGCGCGCCCGGGCGGGAGTACATCCCCGAGGAGTTTATTGGCCGGCTGCCGGCGGCACAAGTTCCTGACCTGGGGTACGGGCGCACGCCTATAGGGCCCACGATCTCTCTCTCTTTCTCTCTCTCTCTCTCTCTCTCTCTCTCTCTCTCTCTCTCTCTCTCAGACACACACACACATCAACGATAATTTAGAGGGAACGAAGATTTCCGTTCGGGTGTGTTTGAGCGAATACCATCACAAAACAATCTTCTTTTTGGACATTGCCCTCTTCACCAATGATCTGGCCACGGCATGGCATTCGCGTCCCATTTCGCCAGCCCCCCCTCCCCCCTGAAATAAGTAATGCGATTGGACGGCGCAACAGAAGAGCAGCAGCGGAAAGTTGACAAGAGATGATAGAGGTCAGGACGGGGCGACGGCCAGAACAAGCCTACAAGAGACATTGAGTTGAGCAGAGGTTTGGTTGTCCGCCGAGAGAGCGGGTTGGGGGCCGCGGGTGGTAGCCCCTCCACCCCACACTAATCGGCTTAGAGGCTGGGAGGGTGGGGGCGAAGGGGGCTCTCTAATGTACAGGAAAGCCGAGGCTAGGTCTAAGCCCCCACTCCCCGTCCAAGTCCTCGAGCGTCTAGTCTCCGTACCTTTAGGCAGGGCACATGCCTGTACGCTCCTTGAGGCGGCCTCCAGGCCCCGCTTGCCTTCCAGGAGCCACGAACTACCAACAACCCCTTATACCCGTGATGCAAACAAGGCAGAAAATAAAAACGATAGTAAACACCGCAGTGTGTTTGACTCACTCAGGGTCGGGCTGTTCGTCTTGATCTCGAAAAACGATAAATGTGGTGGTCGGTCCGGAACCGCACCTGCAATGCACAAGAAAAAACAAACAGGGTCAGTATCACTGCACACAACCTTTGGCGAGAATTTCACCATTAGCTCAAATTGTTTTCATGTTTTATCTTTCTTTTTCTGCTTTGCAACGAAACGTGTAATCTGTTGCAGAAAAAAAGAACAAGGTTACAGGGAGCTGGGGGAGGTTGTGGTACGAGCGGTGTGCCGCTCGGACACTCCACCACCGCTCCACTCGCCCGCCTCGGACCCGAGGAGGAGGCAAACCCCCTTCTTACACAAAACCTCCAGCAGGCAGGGCGGCCAGCCACACCCCTCCACCGCGGACCCAACCCCACCCCCACGAGCCAAGTGCCTTTTCTTCTGCACAGCCGGGCGGTCCCCTCCCACCCCGGCCAGCAAC